GCCGCAGGCAACGGAGGCGGCAATGGCTACGCAGCTCCAGCACCTTCTAATGGATATGGTGCACCTGCGGCGCCAAGTTCCTCCTACGGTGCCCCGGCCGCAGGCAACGGAGGCGGCAATGGCTATTCAGTACCTGAAACTATACCTCAAAGCTATTCCTCCAATGGTGGTTATACGTATTAATCTTACGATGCAATTTATCTTGAATTAAATGTAAAACTGCATTCCATTCACACCTATTGTCATTATTATTCATTGTAAATTCGAATAGATCTTTAGCCCGAAATTCTTTAATTATTTTTATTCTTCAAGAATGTGTAAAAAGCCCAACAAAAAATGTAATAAATATGAAAAGATAATAAGTTTATAACTTCAGCTTCTTATTTAAGCTTTATTGGGTTGCATTAAGCTTCTCTATTAGCAATGAGAAGACACGATTCAAAGTAAGATAGGATTAAGACAAGGATGTATGGCATTTTTTCCTTTGCATCATTGGATGCATATATGTTCTATTGACATGAAAGCTTCTGGTTTTTTCTTACCAAATATTTCTAGCGTCCAGAAACCTAGCAAATATTATCTAATTTGTGATAGACAGACAGTGTTTTCTCATATCGCCTGAGAAACATATTTTTATTACAGACAATGGTACAGATTTCACTTAGGGATAACTAACGATATCATCCGAAATTCCATTTGAAAGAAAGTCGATAATAAATCGTAAGTCGATCTCTTCCTCCTTAATATCATTTGTATATAGCAAGTACGTTTGATTTTTGTTTACGTAACATATATTACCTAACCGATCGCACACATTTTTTTATTTCGTTTTAATCATTCTTTTTTCTTTTTTTTTTTTTTTGTTTATCATACTTTGATGTAAACTTTTTGATAAAATTTAATTATATTTAATGAGCATGAATGCATGAGGAAATGTATTTATTAGTACTGAGATGTTATGAACGATGAACAATGAAGGGATTTGCCTGGTTATACTCACCGTTAGATAATAAAGTGTATTAGTTTAGTTATGCCTTTTGTAACAGCCTAATGTGGCACACGATTTAAGGGATTCAAAGCGTTCACTTTACTAAGTTTTGGTTGGTTCTTTCTCCATCCGATGGGTAAGCCCCGGGACAGTGATAAGACAATGGTTATGAAATGTGATGGATTATTTAGTATGTCTTTTGGAGACGTAATTGAAGACATATCTTCAAGACTGTCTGTAATATTATAGTTAATTGCATTTTGCAGTCTAAAGTTGGCCAACAGTACTTGTAGAGTGTTAATTGCAGCCTAAATGTTGTAGTAGACATTGATTCGAAATTTGTCTAGAGAAGATATTAAAGTCTTGTAAAATTTAAGAATGAAATCAGTAATCTTGGTCGGTCCATTGATATTCCTGCAGAAAACTATTTAATGTGCTCTCTTCAGCAAGAACAACACACATATTCAGGATTATTAGGTGATCCCCGTTAGTTAGTCATTTATTTTTGAAATTCCCGGCTCTTCCGATTTAGAACAAAAAGCTATAGTTCGGTGCATTTTCTCTTCCCAGACACACAGAGTCATAAAGCAAAGTTTAAGAGAACGTACAACTTGCCCACAACCACGCCTAAATTCGACAAACGCAAATTCATTAACATTACTATAAAATGATTTCCGTTTATCTCTCCCTTCAAAAATTCGTGAACTAACGTGACGGAACCGCCAAAGAAAATCTGTTGTTACCTTGAAAAGTCTTAGAAGCAAAGAGAGAAAGAGAAGGAGAGAGAGGGAGAGAAGGAGAGAATGAGAGAGAGAGAGAGAGAGCGGCACAGAGCGAGTATAGCTTTGTTATGTTTATATGCGCGCTGACCGTAAGCAAGTTCACTGGAAGGCACATTTAAATGTTCCACTTTTAGTTTGAAGTTCATTGTACATTTTATTTATTAATTTAATTAATTATATCTTGTATTTTAGTTTAAGTTACAATCGTTCTAATTCGGCAAGTCCTCAGGGTTTGATTTTTCTAAACTTTTCGAGGCTAAACCGATTTAAAGACTAAGTGAAACAAGTTGCCGGTTGATTTCACATTTGAAGAATGAAACCATTATATCCAGTGGATCGTATATATATTTATTTATGTATATACATATATATGCATTTTATAATGTTTATTTATATTAAATACGTTGTCGATTAGTTTCTTTTTGTCATTATTTCAATTATTATCATAAAACATTCATAGGTATTTGATATGTTTGAACTAAAGTTAAATTTAAAAAAAAAAAAACAAAAAAGAAGAAATTTAATATACGATTACAACATAATATGTATAAAATTATTTAATATGTTGTACATTTTAAATTAATAATCATCAAAATCTTAACATAACTATTTTCAGCAAAATATAAAATAATTGTCTTTAATAATATTGGTGGTACCACGCACGGTAGAGCAACCGAGAATATTGTTATAATATACTTTGATTTATTTATTTGTTTTTTTTTTTTTTTTTTTTTTATTGTTTACACACTTGTGTGTGAACATAGTAACTTTGATTCAAAAATATTTCAATTTCAAATGTTTTGTAAACATTTTAATTGCTGTATATTTGTATACTCAACGGCGAAGGATGGATATCTAATGAATTTGTCATTTAGTTTGTAATATCTAGAAATGTCACATTGAAGATCTCGTAAAATATACATACGTCTGATCAATCTAAAAAATGTTCTAAAACTATTTCAAAATTTCTCATACGCCCATCGATCTATTTTTATATCCATCACCGTAGAATGAGGGGTATATTCACCAAATTTACCAACACGTTTGCAACGCCCAGATGGAAGATTCAGATATTCTTAATCAGCATCAGATTTAAGCATGTCAGTCTGTCCGTTTATGTAATGTGTGTTGTAAACATGCGTCTGGCTACAACAATTAAGGCATTGATTTAACATGTGACAGAGATTGTCAGGTTGGTATCGAAATTGGGTCAAATCGGTTGAGGGACACATCACCTACAGTACCACGTCAACGGAGAACAACTCCGTTTTCAAAAGAAATTGATTTTTCGATTCAAACTCAGCAGATGAATGTGCAAAAATTTGAACTCACATTCTATGAGCGATGTTGCGGTAGGTGCCGGAAAATGGACCCTACGCCTACGCGCGCCTACTCAATATTATAGTGTATTAATTTTTAATATTTTTTTCAATACCTTTATAAGGCGCAGAAACAAGCTTCAAAAACCTCATAAAGTATCAAAAATTCTTGGCTATTTTCAAAGATTAAATGCATCTAAACATGTCCGTCTATTCGTCTGCCCATTTGTCCGTCAGCGCAACTGTTTAGTATTTGCGATAAACATTCTCCCATTAGCAAAAAATGAAGATTAAGATTTTCCAAGGACACGCCTACAAAGTCCACACGCCTATGCGACAAAGAGTTTTATTTTGAAAAAAAGGAAACTCCAACGTCCAACTCCAGCCCATACTATAGAGCATGAAAATTTATTTACTTTACTTCTTCTTCTCCTCTGCCTCTTTTAAGATAACGGTGATGGATATAAAAGATTCGGTTATGACCGAACATATTTCTCTTACTTGCATTTTTTTTTTTTTTTGGAATTTGGCTATGAAAATATAATTTTCATTGTGCAATGTCTTTAGGGTTAATAATAGTAGCATAATTTCTGTTTCACCCTAGGAAAGCTAATCCAAAACAACATCGAATCAAAGTTATCTTGCAACCTAAGAATATTGATATAAGCTTTAAATATCTTTCACCTAAATATTAATTACCGCATAAACCGCATTTTTTCAACAACATAATATTGAATTGATGCATAATTATCAGGCGTCTCGTTGACATGTTATATTGCAATAAAAATGTACAATATTTGATAAATTTATGAATGAAAATATCCTTCTAATTTTAGGTTATAAAAATGCGTGTCGATAATCGTACTTATATGGTGTTCCACTTTCAGTGAAAGGGTGAGGAGCAACGCAATCACTTCACGCTAGCGAAGCCAGTAAGTCGGATTCGGACAACCAGGCACTTTTGGCAGCCGTGGAAGCGGACATTGAATGAATGGATTGCTTCCAAGAAGCCCGAATTCTTTGCCCATGGCACTGACCGCCTTCCAAGCAAATGGGTAGCAATTATTAATGTAGATGATGACTACGCTCCGGATTAATTATTTAAAAATCTTACTATTGAATAATTTGGTTTTCTTTTCCATAATAAAAATACTACTCAAGAATATTGTAATTAATTATGCATCAACCTGTGCAATCATTCATCCAAGATGAAATTATTTAAACTAATAAAGATTTAAAATAATACTGAAAAGCGTTTTCTTTTAACTCAAAAAAAAGGAATAGGAAAACTCTGGCGATAGTAGTAAATATTATATGATTATTAGAAACAAAAAAAAAAAAAAATTTCAAATTTTTATGAATAATTTCCAACTGTTAAACACTGTATGACATATTATTTATGTAAGTATATATAAATGCAAACTACATTTAATTGCATGGATTCATATTATAATAGTAATAGATTAAAAAACATTTATATAGGACCAAAAAACCCGTTAACAATTATTAAAATATTTAACAAAAAACAATAACTGAGCTTAATTTTAATTGAAAACAAATATGAATTATTGCACCCAACAACAACAAATTAAGTTTGCGTTACACATTATCGATCTAGTTTGAAGACTCGAAATTTATTTATATATATTTTTTTCCAATTATATAACTTTTTCCGCGCAATTTTATTATAACAAATTGAAAGCTGACGGACAAATTTCTTTATTTGTTGTATTCAAATTTGAAAATAAGTCTAACCCGTTTACCTATAATCGCTAAAAGAGTAAGGTTGCCACAAAATTAAAATAATTTTGTAGGAATTGTCGAAAGCGTGCGCATTCCAATGATTAATCTAAGATTTAACAAAGAGACCGACTACACTATGACAGGTGACGGGGTATGCGACATGGTTTGCCTCAAGGCGAGCAAAGCTTTTTCTTACTCTTAATTCTTCTTATTTTTTATTCGTATTTTTTTTTTTTTTTTTTGTATTATTTTGATATCTATGCATTTGTTTTATGTAAACCTATATAGGCAGTTCAAACAACAATTTCTTTACCATACCATTGTATATCATTTCAACCTTGAGTTCAAATTGGAACAGAATTTCAATTCATTGCCTTACTGCACCCGAATTGCATTTAATTGATTTTGTTCTAAATTTTCTTTAAAAGGTACACTTATTTAGTTATAATATTTATATATATGTAACTTATTCATTATACTATATTTGGTATTTTGTTATTGTATTCCTAGTTGCATGTATGTATATATAATGATTAATTATTTTCAAACTCCTAGAGAGTTTGTGTTTCTCTACTTATTTTCGTAACAGGTTTTTTATATACACACTTGTTATTATTTTTATTTTTATCATTATCATTATTATTATTAGGTTTTAAAATACATCACAATAACACATTTAAAAATATCTCAATTTTATATATTCTTCTAAAATGATATGTATTCATGATTTATTATTTTAGATTTTGATATGTATTCCGATTAGTTTTAATTTACTTTGTTTTTTTTTTTTTTTTTAACTTTCTTCTTTAAAAGTTTTTAGTAAATTTTTTTTTCTAGTCATTGGAAGGATGGATAATATAATAAGATGCTTTTCATTTGTCTTTTTGTTTTTTTTTTTTTTTTTTTTTTTATATATACTATATATACTTTCTATTATGCTCAGCGAACTTATTGGCCATTAAAATGCCCGAAAGCTTATGCCATTCTCAGGTATATGAATACATAACCTATTACTATGTGTTTTCAAAAATGTAAAACGAAATCAAAATGAAGTAAAAAATAATCAATTTAGAAGAAAAAAAAAAGGATTCATCTGCCAAGTGTCACACATTTAAAAAAAAAAAAAAAAAAAAAAAAAATTTCCAACACATTTTGAGGGAAAATGTCCTTAGCCATTCACACTAGGCCCATCCCACTTGACCATTCCTTATCTTCAGAAAACGGGCCAAAAAGGATTCTACTAAATCCTTATATATGGGAAATAACGTCCCGTTCTCAATAGTAGCAGTAAGTTGATATAGACAATTAATGAATGTTTGGACTACGTATGGTGCGAATTAAAAGTAAGCCTCTGTCTAAATTCTACTACTTTATGATAGAACTAGAAGAAAAAGAGAAAATAAAATTTTGCCAAATTTGGGTCCCGTCGTTTTACGTTTTGGTTTCTCTTGCAAAAGAAAGCCTACAACGGAAAGTGTGCCTTTCGATCGAAACCCAAGGTATAATTTTTGATATTTCTTCATGAAAATCTAAATGTAATTGGTAATGTGTTGTAGTATGTCTAATCGATCGGCTTTGTTCAACTATTATGCTTATGCTTGTTTTCTATTAACTACATATAATTATGCATTCTTTTCAAGACATTAGTATAGTAAATGTTTTTCTCATATTTTTATATATCTATGTTGCAAAGCAACAATTGGTTTTAAATAAAATAATGTAATTAAAAAAAAATAAAAATAAATAAATAAATAAACCTTTTCGATAATAGTGTTTCTACTCCTACTTTGTGATACCAAAAAGTTCAAATCACATGTTTATAGTACACATTTAATAATTTATATAAATTTTTGTAAAGTTTTCATTACGTAAATATATTCGAATAGAAATTTCAAATTGAATGAATTCACTCACAAACAATCCCTTGTGAAATAACAGTAAATTATTATTAAACGATATTTAGTTTTAATGGTTTTAGAAATTTCAATTTTTATATATATATATATATTTATGTATATATATTAATTTTGGTGCACTATATATGCTTGTAAAGTGTAAGGGGTAAGTGTATAGGTTAATATCTTTCTTCTGTTCTTCATTTTTTTTTTTTTTTCTTTTATTATTTATTTCACAAATGCATTTGATATGTATGGGTTGCTTTTATTTGGGTTTTTTTGTCTTCTTCTTCTTCTTTTTGTTCGTCTTCCTCATCTTTTAAATTAAAGTAAAGTTTAGCAACATTGAACATTAATAAAATTAATTAATAACATTAGCGTAGAATTTCAACAAAGACTATTTTAGTCAACAAAAATTCTTAGTGAAAACTTTACATATAACAATTATTAACCTGATCGTTCATTCGTTTAATATTTTGGGAGTTTTATTTATTTATTTTTTAATCAATTACCTGAGCACTTATCATAGAAGAATTCAATAAACTTAACAATAAAATTAAAAAACTTTAATTGGTTATGGAACTCTGCGGGACTATGTTTAAACATTGCTTTGTATTCTCTATATATATAATAGTTAATGGAGTTATGTCTTCTTACCTACTACGTATTTATACGAATATTTACATAATTGTAATTATTTGCATTTTTTACAATTGTTTTTTTTTTTTTTTTTTTTGCTTTTTTTTGGTTTTTTTTTTTTTTCTTTTTCTAAATGGATGGCATTACTAATGGCTGTAATGATTCTCTTCAGTTAAATTGATCTAAATTTGTGTGTGTGTGTGTGTGTGCTAGACTATATGTTCTCTTTTCTTTTTTTTTTTTTTTTTGAATTTTTGAATTTTGCTTTCCACTATCACTACGGTGATGAGTTTTTTTAATACTTTCGTAATTCGTTTGTCTTCGTTATCGTTTAGGAGTTTTGTTTATCTTATTATTCTTTAGAAGGCAGTATTTTCCTGATCTATAGGTCTACTGTCAAAAAATCCATCGCTGGTTCCATCGTCGTCATCGTCGTCGTCGTCGTCGTCGTCTGTTTTATTTGTATCACTTTTTCCAACTGTTGAGCTTAGCATTTTTTTTACCTGTGCCTGTGCGGTCTGTTGATTTAGTCGTCTTGCTTCGGCTACTGGAAGATCATCGTCACTTTCTAAAGCCGGATTTATACGTCCGTTACGTTCATCTTTGCCCGCCATTGTGGCAGCGCCATATGATCGCGCCAACGGCCCAGCCATAACGGAAAGCTATAAAATTAGTTTTAAGTGATTTTGTAAAACCTTGCCTTGTTCCAAGTAAATCTTTAAAGTCATGTCAGAACGACTTGAGAAAACTGATAAGAAAGCGATTTATTCCAAAAAGAAAGTAAAACGTTTTGTGAAACCTTTCCTCTTTAAAGCTTCTTCTCATCAATCGACTAAACACCTTCCAGGCTGCTGTCGTGCCCTATCTCGTTTTCGATAAGTCCCTGTTTCTGTGGCCTATTTACTTTACGGACATTCCTTGAGCGACTGGTAAGAAATCCCAACAGTTGCTATCTCTTTCTTTTCTTTCTTTCTCTACTTCTTAATCTCTCTATATTAAGTAATATTAACCTTAAAATATCATTACTCGAGAATGAGGAAGACATACTAACTTAATTATCTATTATTTTCTTGGAATAATTTAATGCTCTACACTGACTCTGAGGAGTGGTTTATTAGGGAACCGAAAAAATCACTATGTATATGTAAAAAAATTCCTTGCTCTGCGTCCAAGATCACATACGTTGGACAAAGATATGTTCTTTCTAAAGTGTTTGATGTTGAAGTGAAAGTGCCAGCCATGGAAGTGTTGGATAAACGGACATTCAGGAAGGGAGGCAATTTATTGACGCATCCATTGATGTATTTATTATCAATCAAGAGAATGTCTTCGCGGCCATAAGCCGCGATATATTCTGCTTGTAAGTCCTTGAGAACAAAAAGCAAAGCAAAACACTATTCAACTTCAGACTTCATTCAGATCTATGCCACTTCCAATGAGATGGCTCAACCCTTAGGCAATTATTCTTTTTGCACTGGAATGCTATTGACATCTTCATCTAAATACTTAACTTCCTCACTTGCTGATTACCAACCTATCATTTATCTCATGTTTTAGAAGATTGTTATAGAAAAAAAAAAAAATTTTAAGCTAAAAAAATTGTTGTTGTTGTATAATTGCTAGAAATATTACAAACGAAACATTTATTCTTCTTATTGATGGCTTTCTATATATATATATATATCACTTTATATATATCTCTATGGATATTTCTATTCTAAAAAGGCCAGAAACTTTACATAGATCTGACTCAAATTGTTCTTAAGAAGATGCAGTACCATTTTATAGAAGCATATACAAGATATACAGCAAAGATACCTCGGATATACTTTAGCAAGGATTTAAAAAGGAGCGAATGATTATTTAAAAATAATTGAATCTAAAATTTATAATGTCTTTTCAGCTTTGGGGCTGCGAGCATTCCAATTAGGATCCTTATCAAAACACTATCAACAAAATAATTTAATAGAATATTCCAAAGGACTTTAGCACACATGCAGTGGCGGTAATTTCATATATATATTCTATATTTATTTTTCCTGTTTGCCGGAGTAATTTGCCTGAGTGCCTTTGTAAACGTAAAGAAACATCTAGTGGAGCATGTACGTTGTCCAAAAAATTTCTGCTTGCAATAAAGACGCAAAAAAATTCTTGAAATTTTCCTCAAAACCTAGTAAAAAGCGGAGGATTTTTTAAGATTAAGAAATGGTGTCAGTTAAAGTCCACTAATGAAAAAGTGCTACATGTTTTCCTGGAAGATATTATTATGAAGCTGGACTCGAAAATTGATCCTAATCGGCACAGCCAATTCGAAAAACATAGTTTCGAGAAAAATCTGATCAAAGAATGCCTCGACCGGCAGTTTTAAAAGAGGCTTTGACCAAAAAAATTCTCTCTTTAATCGCATAAGCAATTCGATCTTAATAAGACTTTTTAGATAACATAAAAAACATGTCAGATAGCACTGGGCCTTAAGTCCAGCTGTCCATTATCCCTCTACATCTGCCTTTATTAGAAAATTGATATGAAACTGTCTAAGCAGACGCTTCGGGTCCTAATTAAAAATCGACTCTTGTATACCCAACATCCATGTGAGTATTGTTCTTAGTAATTCATAATCGATCGTCAAGATTGGTATAAAATATGCTTTAAATATTGAAATAGTTTATGAAAAAGAGAGATAGATAGGTTGACTGATAGTTGTCTGACTGACCTGACCCATAGTCATATATAACTTTGAAATATAATTAAATTTCTTTGAAACTAATTAAATTTACCTGTTCTCCAGATTCAGCTGGCTCACCTACATGCAATACGTCTTCGGGTATATTAACTACACAACGGAATATATCGTAACTAGGTGGCAGTTTGCCAGATTCAAACATCATTCTTGAAAAAAAAAAAAAACAATAAAATCGATTGTATTTTAATCGAAATCATCACATATTCAACTCACTTAGTCCACCATGAAACCACTATTAACGTAATCAAACTCATAATCATGGCCATTGTACGAAACGGGAACAGTTGCTTTTTTTCAACTTCATCATAACCAGGAAAATGTATGAGGGCAGGTAAGCCGAGTAACGCTTCACCGCCTGACAAACGCACAAACAAAGCGATAATGTATGCCGCTAAACTGCCATACGTATTGCAATGCGTTTTAAAATGCACGACCATCAACAATTGAGGAAATAATATAACATATACTAAATCGGAACACATAGACCTTATCGTAAGTAAGTAAATAAAAAAGTTTTTTGTTTTATTAGTTTGTTTGTCGTTGCTTTATACGAAATGATAGTAATTTTGTCTTACCACAAACCGTATATTGAAGGTATAGTTAATGCCATAATGGTCGCTAATATGCCCACAATAATAATCGAAACTCTCATCACCCAAATAATTTCCATTTCGGATGCCTTTTGTCGAAATATCAATTTATAAACATTCCTGGCAAACATTGATGCAGCCGATAATACCGAAGAATCAGCGGACGACATAACCGCAGCACTGACAGCACCCAGCCCGAAGAAGGATACAAAATCGGGTGTCAGATATTGCAGAACCATAGGTAAAATCATGCTAGTTTCTTGTTCGGTTAGAGGATAAGGACCTTTGTACGCAGTTTCATTCCAGGCTAGAGAATAAAAATCATAAATGATATTGTAAATGATATCGACGAATACTTTTCATATTATTTACGAGTAGCTTTGGCAATAGCGCCTATCAAAACCGGTGGGATAGCCATTAAAATGCAACCAAAAGCAGCTACATAGGATAAAAGTTGTGCACGACCTGCAGTCTTACTGGATAGAACGCGTTGAAAGTATACCTACAATGACACATAGCGAAGCGTGATAGCAGATCAAAGCGAATTTGTTTAACTGTACTTTTTTCAAGAACCAACCTGCCATGGTATACCACCGAATACTAACAGTAAACCGTAATCGATGTAGAACCATCTTTGATTCGGTTCCACTTCACCAATCCAATCGACCTCCATAGATGATAAACTTTTGACATGTTCGTTAGTCCAAGCGAACGGTATGCACATCCATAAGCCAATGAATATACAAAATAATTGAATAACGTCCGTATAGGCAACAGAGTAAAGACCACCGAAGAGCGTATAGAAAATGGCTATGCACGATGATAAAATCACCGAAGTTCTATGATCCATGTCAATGATAACAGAGAGAGTTGCACCTAATGCTGCCAAAATACCGGCAGCCCAAAATACTTCGCCACATAAAGCCGGTAAAAATAGTAAACCACCCATACGTTCGCCGAAAGAATCTTGCAAAGGATCTAACATAGTTATGTAGCCTTGTTTACGCATAGGATTGGCAAAGAATATACCACCTGGGGCGAGTTGTTAAGAAAAAACGCTAAGAAATGAGGAAAAAAGAACAACGAAATGAATGAAATGCTTACCAAACACCAAACTCAAAGCATAGCCAAAAGGTGCTTGACACCATACCAGGCCAGAGGTATAAATTGCTTCCGCAGTCCCATTTATATAACCACCTCCAACCCAAGTAGCTATAAAAATAGATCATTGCCCCTCCGTTAAAGTCTTTTTTCGATTAACCCAAAAATGTCACTTACCGGTCATTGTAAAGATGCCCACAAAAAGTCCAATCGAACGACCCGCCAACATAACCTCCTCCTCAGAATCATTGCCCGATTCCTTTTTCCGTCCAGCCCATATACCCACACCTAAGATTAGTAAGTAGAAGAGCACTATGCTCACAACGCCCGCAATATTTATCATTTCAGTATTGTTGCTGTTGTTGTTATTGGTGGTGGTGGTGGTAGTGGTGGTGGTAGCGTTATCTTTAGAATTGCTTCACTGTACACAACCCACGTACATATGCAGATTTTTTGATGGTCTATTCACGTAAAGCCTTTAATTTTAAAAAGCGTACCGCATACGGTAAACGTTATGATTTTAGTGAAAAATTTTTTCTGTTGCTTTTGTTGTTTTTACGTCAAGATTAATTCGCATTTAACTTCCCTCATCCATATCGTCGATGAGTTTTAATACCTGTTTATTAAGACGCGAAGTTAATATCGTTGTAACCATTAACAAGTACGAAAATTATATTCGGTTGTGACCGAATCTCTTATACCCATCACCGTTACCTTAAGAAAGACAAAAACGGTAAAAGAACTAAATGTTCATGCTCTATAATATGGAGTGAGGGACGGGTGGTTTTTTCTATTTTCAAAATAAAAGTCTACGTAACATAGGCGTGTAGGTGTGACCCAAACAGCGATATCTTCATTTTCGCTGACGGGAGAATGTTTACCATAGATAATATACCATTGATCAGATGGGCAGATGGACAAACGGCACGGCGGACATGCTTAGGTGAACCCTCACCTTTTTTAAAACTGGCCAAGGAATTATATACTCTATGGGATTGTCGGAGTTTGCTTCTGTGCGTCATAAAGATATATGATAAAAATAAAAATTTGATATTTTTTCCTTTTTTTTTAAATCTTAGCGATGATGACGACGATGGGTGTAAAAAATTCGGTCAAGACCGAATATAATTTTCTTATATGTTTTATATTTTGGTGAATTTGATTGTACGATTGGAATAAATTAAGGAATTTTTATAGAATTTTTTAGAATAATTTGAAAAATAACCGAAACTCTTTGACTTGCTTATCCTTCTTTACCATCCATTCTAAGGTAAGCTAGTTAAGCCACACCATTCAACTTTATATAATTTGTACGAAGAGTTGAATTGTTCTACCCCATTGGCCTGTATGCCAAAATCTCTTCTGAAAACATTTCAAAATTATAGGCAGATTGTTTAGGTTTTTGTTTTCGAACATAAAGACAGTAGGACTTGCTTACAAAGATTGGGCGACACAGTTATGCATGAATGCGGATTCCGCGATGGAGGCGATTTTGGCGGATGAAATGAGGTGCATCCACGAGCAGCGTCTCGACAACAGCCGCTCCAAAATTCCGTGAAAAAACGACGAGTGTTTAGTGTCGCTGCGGATTTGACAATCGCGATGGGAAAGGGCGACAAAAGCAAGACGGATGTCCATTTCTATTTCAAACAAAACGGACGGTCGGATGGATAGATAAGTTATTATCTCACCCAGTTGCTTAGCAACTTTTAGAAGTCCCGGACACAATGGGACGGCAAATTGTTCAGAATGCGCGGAAAGAGAAGAAAATGCAAAGCACGAGATATTTTAATGCAAAAAGTTTGAGAATGGAGGGTTGGAGCATAATTAAGGAGTTCATAGGGAGAGTGCTCCAAGAACTATGGCGCTTAGAAAGAGAAGAAGTAGTGGAAGCCACTTGTGTATTCCATTGAGGTCCCACCACATGAAGTGCCGTAATTGCAACCAGCCTCCGCAAAGTAATACCTACCAAGCGCTCTAAGGAGATAGCAGAGATCAAAAGCATATCTACAAAAGGCATTTATCGCATATTGAACGAAAATTTATGTAAGAGAAAGTAGACTACAGTATAGCGAATACACCGTATTGCGGGCCGAACCTTATAAAAGCAAATTTGCATAAAATAAAGTTCGAATTGCTACCCCATCAACCGTGTTGCCAAGATGTGGCTCGGCTCCCAGTCACTGATGACTATTTGCAAATTTCAAAAGGATACGGATCAGGTGCTGAGATCATTGCGGAATATATATCGTCATTACTTGAACTGATGTATTTAAAATAGTTTGGAAAATTGCACTACACGGTTTTATGTTTGTCCACTAATTGCTTCTTATGTAACTGGCAACAATGCGTCTGCTAAATGTTAAAAACTTATTAAGCCCATCAGAAGCATAAATAACTTGCTTATGAAAATGGCCTTTTATTCCTACACCGAGTCTCCTTAATGAAATATTCTTTGAATGGTATACGAACAATATATGTATAGCAAGGTTTTATTCATACACAGGCTTAATGAGTTCCCTGATGAATACATGAATTCTGAATTGATGTACATAAAGTAGAAAAGAAAGAAAGAGTCGTGCATTTAATTAAAAATTAAAAAAAGCCAAAAAGTCAAATAAAACTTCTATTATATTGAATAGTGAGAGGGTGCTGCATATAATGTAAATATATTGTAAATAGGTACGTAATTCATATTATTTACAGTGAATTCGAAAATTGAGCTACAGAATAACATATACTTATTAGATATTTTTTTTTATAGAGATAGAGATAGTCTATGGAATGTAATTTAATTTCAAAAATATATTAATGTTCGTAAATAAAAAAATAAAAATAAAAACTAAAAAATAAATAATAACAATGAAACACAGTGAAAAAGAGACAGAAATAAGGGGCATCTGAGAAGGAGAGAGTGACATTGTGTTCTATATAGCGCGAGAGGTAAACAATAATAATACCGTTAAGTTTAATCAAACCGACAGACAGTTATATATATAAAAAATTCATTCAGAAATTTCACATACACTTAACAAACACCTGCCAGAGCTTACAACTCAAATGAAAGTAAAGGGAGGTAGAGAGGTAGAGAGAGAGAGAGAGAGGGAGAAAGAGAGAGAGAGAGAGAGAGAGAGAGAGAGAGAGAGATACGGAGAGATAGAGCTTAAAAGTGTAATGTATTGGAAATTAATGGCACAAAAATGATATATACTTACGATTTTACCGTAATTTGAAACTCACACAATCCTTAAGCAAAACATTGAATAAATTAGAAAAATGTATAAACGACAATAACTCTTTTAAAATAATTAATTTGTGTCTAAAATTATGCAATGCTTTTTGTTCTTTTTTTAAATAGGAATAATTGATGTACTTTAAGAAAGTTTTCTTTTTTTTGTTTTTATTATTATTATTTAGAATTTGTTTTTTTTTTTTTTTGTAAGTAATTAATTAAATATTTATTACCAAGACTTAAATTTAAGATAATTTAAACTCAATGCCACAACTATCACCCCAACGTAGGGACGTCTTTTGCGACGGACTATTTCGTGTTTTAAAATGTAATCCGCACATGAGCTTCTTTTAACATATAAATTTTTTTTATAACTGTATACCGCATTTATTAAAATGAAATTATGAAAATACAAATTAGCGGAAGGTTTAGCTTAATTTTAATGTTTTTAGGGATATATATTTAAACTCCCGAAAATTATATAAGAATAATAATGAAGACCTTGAAAAACTTTACTTTTAATTCCTTTTTCTTTTTTTATTTTTTTTTATTTATTCACAAATACTTTCTTTTTTTTTTTAATATTAATTTTTTACTTTAATACAAAAAAAAAAAAACAAAAAACGTACTCGCTAGTTCGATCTTATGGTTGCTTTCAAGGGTTAGATTAAAATAATTTTATTTTTATCCCGAATAGTGTTATAAACTTTTACTTTCTCTCGGTTTCATCAGGAAGTGAGCAAGCAAAAGTGATGACAAAAAAAATTTTGTTTTTCTCTCCGTGCGCGCCTAAAAGCTTCTATTCAACGCTCGCTAGTCTTAGTGCAGTTCACGTAGTTCACTCTTCACAATTTAATATCAGTCATATGTAACGAATTTGAAAATCAAATCGTAAAACGTTGACATTACATTTTTTTTTTTTTTTTAACTATCTAAACTATTCATACGTTAGTACGAATGTAAAAAATGTGTAGGTGGGTTTACTTTATTTATATACATATGCATATATATATATATATATATATACGGATATACATTTGAATTTGCCACACCATACATTAAATTAAACACTTTTCCGCAAATTAATTTTAATAGATTGTGTCTTTAAAAAAAAAAATTTTTAATTTTTTATTTTCATTTTTAAATATTTAAATTATCTTAATTGATGGCAAGTCTTTTCTTTTTTTTTTTTTTTAATTTTTATAAATTTCTTGCGCTACGTTCCAGTCAATGTTTAAGCAATTTCATTGGCTTTTTACTAACTGAATACGAATGCTTGGAATAGTTTCCTAGATATGAAATCATTATATATCGTAAACGTATTTATTTGACCTAGCGATAAACGAATAATAATTCCCATCAGAAGAAAATTCACTCTATTACTTTCTTAGGGGGTCATAGCAGATGATTTAATTGGAATACATTCGGAGGGATAAGTGTTGTGATACAGGTAAACGTTCAAGCAATTCCATTGGCTACTCAAATAAAATGAAAAGTAACGCTTGGAACAATTCCTTAAGGGGAAATCATTTATCGTAAATGAATTCATTTAATAATGAATGAAAAGCAATTCATTCAGCTCCTTCTTTAGGGGTAGAAGCAAATGATTTAAATGGAATGCATTCGAAGGGTTCAATATTGTAAAACAGATGAAGGGGAAATTCTGGTGAAAAGCTCTAAACACAAAACAAGCATAAGCAAATTTTAATCTCAGAAAAGTCAAAAACATCTTTCATAAGCATATATATATATATACAGCAAAGTAAATTTTTAACTGATGATTACATTTCCTGCTGTAGATGTAAGAATCAGAAAAGATAATAATAAAAGCTACAAATTACGCAAAAAAACTCAGATAATTGTATTTATCTTTAGCACATTCTTCGCTCATATCGATAGTGTTTGGATAACTGAAGTGTTCGGGAAATTTTAAAATCCTACCTAAATGGGGCTAAGCAGATAGCTGCAATATAAAAATAGCCAACAGATTCTTATTTTTACATCATCGAATAAGAGTAAAAGCTCGGCAAGTGCATATTGTATTCTGACCGACAACCCCCCCCTTCTTGCTAACCAACCCCAAACCAAACATGCTATTGATTATTAGTAATAATCCTCCCATTCTAAAAAATATTATATAGCTATGTATACTAATGTATTACCGTATATAATAAAAGTAACGAAAATTACCGTAGGCGGATACGTCATAACTTTACTGCACAAAGCACGCGAGAGGTCTACATATTTACTTAGATATGCTTCGAGTTAGCTGAGTTTTAAAATTTTAAAGGGAAAAATTCACCAAGTGGATGCACCAAGTGGTTGTTTAAAACCAATTTCGAAATTTTAATTTTAACCCAACATCAGACGGACAGATCTGGCCATAAACTATGCAATGTTGCAGTGCAAAAATACTCTAATACGCACAGCGAACATTTTCCGCCTTTATTCACTCCCCGATTATATGATGAAAAATATGATCAGTATTCATTCACATATAATGTTTGCTGTGGATCCTCCCGCTCAGCACTTACTTCAATATTGGATATCTGGCTTTTGCTGACATATTTTTACATGGATAGCATTTATTTTTAAAGAAACTATGGACCTAATCTTGAATTAAATGTTGTCGCTATCAACTATCTGGCTTAATTTTTGCGTCTTTGGATTTGGAATTTCACGTCGGTAAAGAATATATAAAGATTTTATAGAGAGTATTGCTCTCTATATGAAATGCAACATCATTTCTGTATGAATCGAAGTTAGAACTTCTGACCTTCAAAAAAATTTACTCTTTGGATAATATTCAATTTTACGGTTCTACCTATAATAGTAACTGAGAAGCCAGGCAATAATTTATTAAAATTTTAAACTTACCTCATTATTTGAAATGTATCTGTGGTAAGCGCCGCACAGCCAGGCATAAGAAAATGTAAGCGAAGTGCTGGAATTAAGATTGCAATTAAAAGCATTAATTAATTTTTTATTTAAGGAGAAGTGTTTTTAAAGTAGATTAAATATAAGTAAGTAAATTTTGAGCGGTAAGAAAGTTGATTTAGATTCAAATTCCTCATATTTAAATAGCCGTTCTCTTCTTCTACTTCAAGGACGATCTATATTATTACTAATGATACAATTTTCTAAAAAGGTCATGGATTTTTTTGTTTAAATGTCATTCATTAGAATTAAAAAAAAAAATCTAAAATGAAATCATTCGAAATGGAGAAGGAAAATGGTCGTACTTTAATAAGTTAAGTTACTTAACACAGTACAGTAACAACTAAGCTCACTTTGTAAGATTTTCTCCTACCTTACTTGACGTTTCGGGCGTCCTCCAATAGGAGGGCTTTTATGAAAAGCATCTCTTAGCATAATGATTAACATTTGGTGTATGCTCAAGCAAATGAATAAATGATTGTATTAAACGAAATGGCCTTGGGTATCTTACGTTCGATCGTGCCCATCTATAGTGTAGTGTAGTATTTATTTCTATTTTCTCCTATCATGACTTTCCTGAAAAAACTACAGAGTATAAAGTCAAATAGATATATTTTTATACCCACCGCTAAACGATGGCGGTACACCCATCTTGTTTTTTTTTTTTCTCATAATCTATAACCCTATAAAGCGTATATACTCGTGATCAGCACGAAATTCTGAATTGACCAAATCAACTCTATCTGTCTGTGTGGTTTGTGCAGCTTGCACTATCCTGTTCGCAAAAATGAAGGCGTCGAAATTTGTTAGGAATATTGGAAGCTTTTGCACGCAGTTTAGTATTGAAAATGGGCCAAGTTGGTCAGAGCACAAGTCCGCAGTGAAGCGTAAGCTGAACGCAACTTTGTTTTCCGAAACAAACATTTTTAGATTTCGCTCACTGCTATACTATCTTACGATAGTATAAAAGATAGAAGCATGAAATTTTGTACATTTACTCTATTCTGTATGTGCGAATAAAAATCGGCCCTGCCCACCCAGAGTTACAAGTAAATAAACTTTCCGTTTTTTCCACTCTCTTGAGGTCTTAAGTTTATTTATCATAAGGCAAACAAGACAGAATGTTTAAAACCATTTTATACATTCCTCATATAAAGATAAATTATCTGACTAAATATGCTTTAGTTCTAAAATAAATATGGTGGACATCATGACATGATGGACTAATTTTTTCTTAATTATACCACCAATATGGGTATCAATTAGAACGACTTGGAGAGCATAAAGCGACGAGGTAGGTGTTAATTCAAAATTATTTATGGTGGGCGTCACCACGTAGTGAACCGGTTTTTTCGTTACAATATTGTTGAAATGGATACCACGTGAAAGGTTTTAGGGAGTAGAATGCAACAAGGTAAGTCTGTTGATTCTTAATTACGCAGTGAATTATATTTTTCTTAACAATACCTTTTAGTGAAATAAAAGGATAAAAGATATATTTTATCCCATTCCCTTCAATCAAAGGATGGGGCGCCAAAGATTTAAGCCTTAACAATACTTATTCCGAATAATCACACCATTGTTTTTAGAAAAATCAAATTAGCTTTTACGATGAACATAAATAAGTGTAATTTATTATACAAACTACAAACATATAAAACACTTAATAACCATATTTTTTATTTAGCTCGGTGATACCGTCACCAGTTTGATTTTCCGGCGGAATCCATTTAGCATATTTACCAGTCGGATCGTAATGCTCATCATCATCATCTATGTCGACTTCTTGACGTCTGTGACGTGAACGATGACGTCGCTTTACTAAGTCCGAACAATTGCTTTCCTTACTACTATCCAAGGGACAATGTGTTTTATTTCCATTTTTGTTTTGGATTTCTTTTGATACAAGTCGGCCTTCAGATTTCTGTCCTAAGATTGTTGCTGAATCTTTTTCCGGGAAACTTTTTGCTAAAATATTAGTAGGCATAACACAAGGCCCATAATGCTTAGTTTTCTCCTCCGAACTTTTACTTTCGACCACGTTTTCATTTGCTATATTATTCCTGTCTAAATGCAATTTTTGAGCTTCACGGCTGTCGCCATCTTTTATATATTCTTTTTCTGGCGTCAAAAGTCCCATTACATTGCCTTCACCTTCCCTTGGTTCGTTGCTTCTATTATCTTGAGGTTTCTCCTCTTCATCACAATCATCTTCTTCCATTTCCTCTTCATCTGAAGCTAAAGCTTTATTGCCCTTAGGTTTTTCCACTTTGTGTGTAGTTGCGGTAATAATTTTAAATTTACTAAATTGATTCCGTTTGCCTATCATAGGCAATAACTTTTTATGATTTTCTGCTTTACTTGCAACGTTTTGTGATGCTGTAGCACAGGGTATATCTGCTGGTTTGGTAATTTGAATAAGTTTTCGTACTTTTTGCTGCTCCGTTTTCAGATGTTGTTCCTCAAGCTAAACCGATGAAAAAGAAATTTAATAAAAATTTTCAATAACTTCGTTATGAGTCGTAAACGCACCCTTAATTTTCTTATCATAATCTTATTCTGCTCAGATCCTGCTTCGTTCAGATTTTGTAAGTAACTGTCCAAATCTTCACCGTTCTCGTTATTTTGGGCTTTTATACGTTTACGTTTTTCCTGATAAGAAGCAAGTTTGGCTTCAATTTCCCGCAGATTGTTTTCCAAATTAGATTCTTTTTTAAGCTGAAGAAATCAAATGTGTTATCAATACTAACGTGGAAGAAAATACATTTTTTTATTTACCAAATCGTCATGGGTTAGGCTAACATTCGCATTAATGTTAGCTTTTCTTTGCTTTTTTCTTGCTACGTCTCCTGTGCGATCCCAAAATTCGTCATCGTCCGAATCGGAAGCTGGATTTTTCATCTTCCTTTTTTGTGGTTCTTGGTTGGCTTGTCGTAGAACACCATGTCTGTCAAGAATACGGCAAGCTTCCAAAGCACACTGCACTACGCATTCCTTTTTGCGACCTTTATGCACCACCTCAGCAACAATGGGTCTACCGTTGCTATCATCAATGGGTAATTCAACCCGACAAACAAACGAACCAGCCGACATTTCATCGCATTTATATTCTAACTGTAAACCTTCACGCTCAAAGTAGCCTCTTAACGTTTTTTTTGGATCATCCAGAAACAATTCCTCATTATTGGTAGTAGCATAAGGATTATGCGATAAATCAGTTTCTTCATCAGCATCTTCACCCATACCCCAACAACAACCTTCATTACGTGCTCGTTCCTCTGCTTCATTCACTTTGCGTTGCTTTTCCAAAGCTAGTGCTTCTAGTTCTTCCTTCCGTTTTATCTTTAATTCCGTTACGGATAAATCAGATTCGGGTTCCTCGTCCTCTACAGGCCCTTGCAATATATAAGATCTCGTGCTAGCTCCTAAGCGCAACATATGACCGACTCGAATGCGAATAAAAACTTTTGCAGGTATTCTTTGTTTATTCAAGAAAGAACCGTGAGTGCTGTCCAAATCGTATACGTACCATCCCTCAGGAATCTCTTCTGATGTATCCGATGAATTTACATTTTCATTTATTTCTTGTTTCGATCTGTACTGCAGAATGGCATGAAATCTAGAAATAGTAGGGTGAGCCATCTCTATATCATTCTCGGGTAAACGACCAAATGTCCAAAAAGCTTTTTCTTGCAAATCCTCAATTTTTTCTATAATTTGCCCAGATTTTAATATTTCAAAGCTATATTTGCAGTCTTTCGAAGGCGTCGACGACCATGGCGGTACTTTGTAAGGATTACATTGAACTTTATCACCCGGCAATTCATCAAATGTTGTTTCGCTGCTTTGTTCAATCGTCGATATATTAGTGATCTTCGAAAGAGATTCAGGTTTCGCAGAATTAGTTGGCTTCGTTGGTACTTTGAAATTCTCCATATTTACTATTTCTGTTTTCTTCTTCACATATTCTTCTTCTTCTACGAGTCAGCAAATCAACAACAGATGATTAACCGAGTTGAGTAAAAAAGGTTCGATGTGAACACGAAGTTTCCCGTTCGAACCTTAATAGAGTTGACTTTTAACTTGATTGTAAATATCAGTGTACATATATATACATATATGCATATGTATTTTGGGTGCTATAAAGTCCGCCACGTAATTTTGCGGGAATTGAACTATCCCAAGTTTCAATTAATCCTCTTGTTTTATATTATTCCCTCGACTTTTGATGGCATTTTATTTATTTTCCAATTGATTTCGGGATGATACAGCGCAAAATGCATTTCATACGAAGAAGCACAAACGTGTACATATAGACGTCTTATCAAGGAGCATATTAATGCCAGTTCAAAATTTATTTTGTTTTTATTTGTTTATGGCTTAGATGTCCATTCAAAAAATTTGTTGCAAAATTTCCTTTTTTTTTCGAAATTAAAGGATGGAAACTGTCACCTCATACAATCAGGAAATATATATTTATAATTTAAGAAAAATATCGACTTTGTTTTTCTAATCATAATCAAACTACAGCTGTTTTTTTCGATGAAGGTGAAGTCTTCTTTTTCTTCCTGAACACTCAGCGAGTCAACAACAGATGAAACCCTCATATGTGATTACCTCCCTGTTATTTTATGTTGCGAAAGGACAAAGTCACCAAATTTACCCATTGCGTATATTGACGTCTCTTCATGATTTTGGAGGTTTTTTTAACAGAAAAGGAAAGAAAGTAGAAAAGCACAGTAAACACAAAGTTCTTTTAATATTTTCCAGATATGATCGTGTTTTTCACAGAACGTTTAATATATCTTCGGTTTTAACATGGCTCTTCAAACATTTTTCAGATACGGCTTTGTGTTTTTCTTTGGCGGGACTTATGTGGAGTCTTTGGAAACTCTAATAATAATCTGGGCTACTATTATCTACTACATTGTCTACGATAAAAAAAAAAATGTCAGCCAAAATTTTTTTTAGTTTCACAACCTAGCAACTCTAACAAGCCATCCTACGTTCTTCTCTACATTTCCCGCTAGATTTAAAAGGTTAGCAAAGAGCGAATAATAATTCATTATTATTTTATGTGTGTATGAGGAAGAGCAAAAGACTGAATAGTGCATGTAAAAAGGGATTTCGTGCATTCATTTATCTATAAATGGCCTTTTTCGACTCTTTCGAGCTCGGTAACAGTGCCTTAATAAAATTGGAAAGTCAAGAAAAGCATGCTTTAGAGGACAAATTTTCAGAAGCATTGGATGTAATTTCAGAATCTCCTACGGACGCAGGCAAGACAACATATCGAAATTCATCTTCCATTCTTAGTAGAAGTCGACTTAATGGAAAAACACAAACGTTAACCAACAAATCCTTTGAAAGTCGAAAATTTCGGCGCAGCAAATCGGATTCTACTCTACCAAAAACAAGCAGAGCTGAGAATGGTTCACATTTGGATAACCTATCAGATGTTTTTCTTAACGACTTTACATTTTCAAAAGCCATTACACCAATTACACTGGACAACAATGCTGAAAAGGAAAGATCTGGTATAAGAGTCTCTCAAATTGAAGCTATATTTCACAACAATACAGAATGGGAAAAGGAAGAATTGGAGAATTCCTTAGAGAAGCCTATATTTTCGGAAGATCTTCATGATTTAGTCAAGGTTGAGGGAAATGATAGCGCCTGGCAAGAATTTACGTTTCAATCCGAAACAAAAGAATCGAAAGATATCTGCCATGATGTTAGCAGCTTTATTTGCCTTCCGGCGAATGACGATGCATTACGAGAAGAACATCTGGAAAATGAATTAAAAGAAAGTCAAAAATTTCTTAAGGAGGAAGACATAAGCTTGACTTCAATGTCGCCAGGACAATTGAAATTCACTCCAACATTATCTCAAAGTCCTCTACGAAAACCAATTTTCGCAAATTTCGATGTAAATCTCCCAAGCAAATCAGAGCTTGAAAACAATGAGCCTAAACCGCTTGAACGTAATTTGGCAGAGCTGAAGAGCATTAATGCTTGGAATTTACCTTTGAATGTTTTGAAAGAATATGACCGTAAAGGCGTTAGAAACATGTTTGATTGGCAAGTCGAATGTTTAAGTAATCCAAAGGTAAGTTTGCAGTGTTTCTTAAGAGCAATTATGTAAAATCGTAAGAATATTCTTGTATTCTTTATAGGTACTCTTCGAATATTGTAATTTAGTTTATTCGGCGCCAACTTCGGCTGGCAAAACATTAATCAGTGAAATTTTATTATTAAAAACTGTCTTGGAGCGCAATAGAAAAGTGATTATGATTTTGCCTTTTATTTCGGTAGTTAGGGAGAAGACATTTTACTTGCAAGATCTGCTTACCGGTGCCGGTTATCGCGTGGAGGGATTCTTTGGCGGCTACATACCTCCAGGAGGATTTGAAAGTATCCACGTAGCTATTTGTACTATAGAAAAGGCCAATGCCATTGTTAATCGATTAATGGAGCAAGGAAAGCTTAATGAAATCGGAACAATAATAGTAGATGAAATACATTTAATATCAGACCCAGGGCGTGGCTATATACTGGAATTATTATTAGCTAAAATATTATACATGTCCCGAAAATACGGTTTACAAATTCAAATTATAACGATGTCAGCTACTTTATCCAATATAGAGCTATTAAAAAAGTGGCTTGACGCTGAATTATATATAACAAATTTTCGACCGGTAGCCTTAAAGGAGATGATAAAAATCGGAGATAAAATCTATGATTGTAATATGCAAATATTACGTACTGTGGCCGAGACAACAGTTAATATTGCAGAGCCATTTCCTTGCTTAGAAGGCGATCCTGATCATGTGGCTCAATTGTGTATAGAAACCTTATTGGAAACATGTTCGGTTATCGTATTTTGTCCATCGAAAGATTGGTGTGAAAGTTTAGCGCTCAAGTTAGCCGCTGCCATACATTCATTATGTAAATTGAATAATGAATGGGGCGAACGTTTGAATTCTCAATTAAAACGTGAAAGTATTGATGAAATGAAGCAACAATTACATGATATACCAACAGGTTTGTTTACTCAAGAGACGATTTTTATACCCATCGTTTGCCAAATTATCATATAACTGCCGGAGACTAGACTAACTTAGTCGATTCATAAGATTGTAAAAAACTCGGGAAACATCGCCAGATTTCATTCTCTCTTCGAGTATTTTGTTCCTCAGATTTGTTTTATTAGATTAGGTTACTATAGTAAGTTTCACATGCACAGAAATAGAATGGCTCACTAATGTTTGCCTAATATGTTACGGTTGTTCAGCAAGGATATAGGCAAGCAATGGATATCAAAAGTTTCTCTCTCTAAATCAAATATAATTTTCTTCACTAATTTATATTAAATAAGAGTAAAATTATTTCTTCACTAAAAGGATTGGATAGTGTTCTGGAGAAGACCGTCACGTACGGATGTGCTTTCCATCATGCCGGGCTAACCACCGAAGAAAGAGATATTGTGGAAACTAGTTTTAAAGCGGGAACTTTGAAAATTATTGTGGCAACCAGTACCTTAAGCTCAGGTAAGTTTGTTCCAAACAAAACAGTAAAATACTTGAAATGATTACTTTTATGTACTGTTTAGGAGTTAATTTGCCAGCACGTAGAGTTTTAATAAGATCGCCTCTGTTTGGCGGCAAACAAATGAATTCTTTGACGTATCGACAAATGATTGGCCGAGCTGGACGTACCGGAAAAGTATATCGCTTAGAGAAATTCGAGTATCTTCAAGTGGCAATTAGAAATATAATTTCATTTTAGGATACATTAGGTGAATCGATTTTAATATGTACCGAAAGCAACGCTCATAGCGGGAAAGATTTGATAAGAGCCGACTTAAAACCTTTAACTTCCTGTTTGGAGCTAGATAGCAGTGTTGGTTTATTTTCAAATCATTTTTAAATAATTTAATGTAAATATTTGCCATTATTTTAGACGCACTTAAAAAGAGCTTTACTTGAGGTTATATCATCTGGTGTGGCGACCAGTAAATCGGATATTGATAATTTTGTCAAATGCACTTTATTGAGTGTCGAAAAGCATATGCATTATCAGGAAAAGGAAAATGATAATGATTATCGTTCAGATGGAAAGGAATACATAAATGTTGCTTTAAAATTTCTGGAAGAATACGAATTCATACGTTTGCAAAAGTTGAAAGAAACACAAGAAGAATTTTATGTAGCTACCAGATTGGGAATGGCTTGCTTGTGTAACTGAATAGAATATGAAATTTATGAAGAAAATCCATTTGATTGAGTTTTCTTTTTAGCTTCATCGATGCCACCCACAGATGGCTTGATATTGTTTGCTGAATTACAAAAGTGTCGTCGTTGCTTTGTTTTGGAATCTGAACTGCACGCTGTCTACTTGGTAACACCCTATTCAGTTTGTTATCAACTTCAAGATTTGGATTGGTTATTTTTTTTGGATTTATGGGAAAATTTGACGCCAGCCATGAAAAAGGTCGGCGAATTGGTAGGTGTTAAAGAATCGTTCCTTGTTCGGGCAATGCGTGGACAAAGCAAACTGGATTATAAACTTACACAAATACATAAAAGGTAAACTTATTAAATAATGAAAATTATAGCTGTTATAACCACACAATCAAATGATATGATATATTGATTACTCGCAATGAACTAGGCACCCCTTTAACCCTTTAGGGCCAATATATAAACTCCATCCGATACGGCTGCACTATTTTCGAAAATATGAATACATTTTAAGACCACTGATTAATTCGATTCACCTAAAATTCGTCAAAGTTCTCGGTGGACCACTTTGCGCAGTATATCTTTAATTAGTAAAATGCTTCGAATCGATTTTGCTAATTCAAGCTGAAACGAGCTGATACGAACTTGAAAAATTCCAAATTTACGTTAATATCTTACGATTTACAAGAAGCAGACAACGATGTTCAAGTTTGGTAATCGTATTTGTTAGGAATGTTGTGTTCATTGACATGTCTGCCAATTGTCACATTCTAAGGAAACTACTATCTAAGTTTTTAGAAAAATTAATTGCACCAAACTAAATCAAATTTAAAATGATCAGAGTTTTAATGAATATGCGAGATGGTCCATAAGCAAAAAATTCACACGAGTGTTATTAGTAAAGTGAAAATCGGAGAGACAAAGTTAAGTTGACTCCAAATTTCCAGCTGATCAAGAATACATATACCTTGAAGGGTATCTGATTCCTAAATAAAGGAGGAGGGAAGTGGGAGAGGGATACCTGCCCTCAGTAAGCAAGATAAGAATTGCGAAATACTATGACTGCAGAGTTGTCCGTTGGCTGACTGCTACAATTTTCCCATCAACTTTTCACTTGATCCTCCTAAGAGTAGAGAGTAGTCTTTCCACTTGCAAGCTTCATATTTTAAAATCAACCTATCGGTTTGTTCAAAACGTATCTGAATAGTTTCCGTCTCGGTTTTTGCGAAAAGTAGGTCTGGTCAATCCAATTTATCTTATAGCGTCAGCACTGTTTTCGGGATATTACAAAAAGGAAAACAAATTCCATATTATATAAAATTCCATCCTTCGCTTGTACGTTCACGGAAAATACGAAATTTTCTCTATTTACTTTAGATTGTCGATAATCAAAGCCGTTGTCTCAAATAATAAAATACTTTTTTTCATTTTTTCAATGTTTGGATAGATTTTACACCGCATTAGCTTTGCAGGAATTAGTCTACGAAACGCCTGTTAATAAAGTAGCCGCTAAATACAAATGCACTCGAGGCATGTTGCAAGGCCTACAACAAATGGCTTCAACATTTGCCGGCATTGTTACATCTTTTTGCAACTCTCTGCAATGGGACACTTTGGCTTCGATTGTTTCGCAATTCAAGGAACGCTTATTTTTCGGTATACATCGTGACCTAATAGATCTAATGCGTTTGCCCGATTTAAATCAGAAACGTGCTAGAGCCCTCTTTAAAGCTGGAATAACAAACTTGATCGAATTGGCTAACTCGGAGATATTCGAAGTGGAAAAAATATTATATAATGAATTGAGTTTCGATTCGGAGAAACAATATGATAATGAAAATGCTTTAGAAGCTGCTCAACGTAATGAAGCCCGAAATTTCTATATAACGGGTAAAAAAGGTTTTACTATAGCCGAGGCGGCTGAGTTGTTAATAAGAGAAGCTCGTCAATTTTTACAATATGAAATTGGAGTGAAAAAAATAAGTTGGTCTCAAACCCAAGAGCAGGTGAATTCAGAAGAAGAAATTTTGAAATCAGCAAATGATCGGATAGTTACGAAATTGGATAGCGCTAATAAAGAAATAAATATGTCGGTTGAAGAAAATGCTTACACAAGGGAACATTTTCTAAAGCGGGAAGAAAGTAAAAGCTTCGAAACTTTGTCCAGCTTAGCAAGTAATAAAAAAGATTGCCATAATCATACGAATAGAGAGGTAAAAAAGGAAGATTTGTTTACTCCGATCACTCCACAGAAAAACCCAATAAATGAAAACAAACCTGAAGAAATATCGAGGAGTCTTCGAGCAAGTCTTCCAAAAACGCAGCCTAACGAAGAATTAAAACGTACATCCGTTCAATCTCAGCTTGAGGAGCATAGAGAAGTAACGCCTCCTAAGCAAGCTAAGAAAGGTAATCAAATGAATGGAAATGTTGTTCGGAATTCCGATGAACAGCCAAGCACAAGTAAGAAAGCGCAAAGACTTCTAAAAGCAAGACAATTATCTAAAATGAAAAAACTTGAATGGGAACAAAAACAGCAGCAGTTGCAACAAACAGAGAAAGCAAAGAACTGGGAAGATGAAAATGTGAAAACTGTGATAAATGAGAAAACGAATATGCCGCGAAGAAGTCCACGTAATCGAAAGACTGATATTGCAAGTGCCAGCGAAAAACCGAACTCTCCTTTAAGGCAAAGATTAGAAACTTTAGAAAATGCTGCGACGGGATTGGAAAAAATTAAGAAACGAATCTCTAGACCTGGAACACCTTCGAATTCAAATGAATCGACCGATGATAATAAAGATGAGATCCCCAATTCTCAGCAAAAAATTAAAGATGATTCGAGTAGTAAAACAAATCGTTCGGCACATGCTTCCAAATTTCTGCGATCATATCGCCAAAGTCAACGTACGCAGAGTCCAAAATTAATTAATAAAAATATCTCTAAATTACCCAGTGATAATAAAGAGTTGTACTGCCTGGCAAGCAGTTTCGAGTATTCAGATATGTCGATGGAAAATTCACTTTTAAAAAATCCAATACAATTAAACGCGTCCCACATTCTAAGTTGTTCGGAATATGAGAACGAAGCGTCATCATTCCAATCCATGGAAATCGTAGATATTTGCAATGATCAGCAACTTTTTAAAATGGTTTTTAAAGAACTAATGGCATCGAAACGCTTGGCTATGTGCTTAGGAGTACAACAACGTTCTGGCCAACGCAAGCCATTAATCGGCGGTAATTTACTTCTTAATCAAGTAGGAGCGGCTGAGCAACAACAAGAAACAGAAAAAAATTGCTCAACGTATGAATTTGAAATTGATGACACGAATTACTTGGATGGTATAGCATTTTGTTTATCCCAGAATAATGTTTTCTATATGAATATGCAAGCGGAAAACACATGCAAAGGTCTGACTGCAGAAATGAAATCCAAATATTTAAGAATTTTGTTTAAATCAAATGAACGTACCTTCCTTGCCTTAGAGGCCAAAGAACAGTTGAAGATTTTGAAAAATCTTCTTCAATCGGAAATATTGGTTAACTTGGAAGATCCAAAAGTAGGGAATTGGTTGTTGCAGCCGGACAAAGTATACAATCTAAATCAGTTGGTAAAATGAAAACCAAAACACAAAATGGTTTCAGATTCTTAAATAATAACATTTTCTCTACACAGGTCCAGCAGTTTGCTCCCGAATGCAGTGGATTAATAAATCTATGCGGCTCTGCTCGTGGCTACAATAGTTACGGATTGGATTCTTCTAGCGCTATATTGCCAAAAATTAGGTAAGATTTGAGATTTTCAACTCTTTGCAGCTGTTATTAGAAAAAATCCTCTCTGTCTCTCTCTTTTACTATCCATTACATTGGATATAGATGATCACATTTTTACATAATATTATTGCGTAGTAACTAACGTCCAAAAATTTTTTCGCCTGTTGCATTTCGAATATCACGCAGCCATGACATTTCTTTTCCATCCAAGCCTCTACGCCGTTCGATACCGGTTTTCATTATTAAATGCAGGAATTCATACTTTTTTCCATGTACAATGTATCCAAAGCAGTTTTTGCACTTTTAATATCTCACGCTTAAGAGTCCATTCTTCTCAGGACTTTAGTGTTAAATATGCGACCTGGACACCCTATCTCAAAGATTTCCAATCTATTCATTGCAATGATTTTCAATGTCCACGATTTTAGACCATACAAGAGCACCGAGCGTTACCAAGCATTTCAAGAAACGAGGATGAAGGCATAAAGCTCATTTCTCCTGCTTGCTAGAATTTTCTCATACCTCTATTCTGCTTTTTATTTCTACATCGCTAGCGCAGTCTTCATCGAAGTCTGAATCGAAGGCATACAAGCTTGAAAAGCTTTTCTACATTTTGGTTATTAGTTGGATACAAGTAGCATTTGCATCGCTGACTAGAAGGGTTTCGATGCGATGCGTTGATGCAATAAATCTGGCTTACAAATTTGGACCAGAAAGATCTATTTTTTGGCACCCATTCCATAAAAAGATTCGTATGAAAAGCGACCTTTTTCTTTATGGCAGGAATATATATATAATTTCGTTAAAATTGAATCATGTGCCTGCGTGTCCACTAAAGGTATCTCTCTCTCTACAGTATGCCATCATATGAAAGTGAATGAAGAATTATATTTGGCAATAAAGTCGAGAGGTGTGCAATGCTCTGTTTTTGTTTTGTTTGTATTTTTTTTTCACACAGATCCTCTGTAGAAGCATGCGTCACACTGCATGTACTTAAAGGTCAAATCGAAAATATGGAAAGAATTGGTAAAGGGGAACTATATAAATTTTTCAAGGGTAAGTACTTTTATTTTAATCTAACATCATTTTCATTCTCAATTGCAATTGTTTTAGAACTGGAAATGCCTTTACAAATGTCTTTAGTTAATATGGAATTAGAAGGTTTTCCAACCAATTTCGAGGCTTTACAAAAATTATATCAACATTTAGTCGAAACTATGAAAGGACTTGAAATGAGAATTTATGAATTGCATGGAAGTCGATTTAATTTAGGATCAACTGCAGCAGTAGCAAGGGTAATTTGAACTCGATAAACTTTAAATGAAGAAACTGGTATACGGAAAAGAAACGCTCCGTCCGACCTCTATTAATATATTACAATTCCAAATTGTTATTGTTATTCCATTTGATCTGATGATAAGTTTTCTTAAAGATTGTAGGATTGCATCGTAAATCTAATGGTCGCATAAGTACTTCGAAACAGATATTGGAGAAAATTGATTCTCCTATATCGCAAATGATATTAAATTATCGCAAAATAAATGCAGTCTTGACAAAGACTATACAACCATTGATGAAATGCGTAAAAGATGGCAGGTAAAGTTCGCCGAAGTGAAAACTTGAAAACTTTTCAATTGAAATATTTGTTATATCCCCTTTGCATAGAATACGAGGTCAAAGCATAACATTTACTTCAACGGGTCGCATATCGATGGTTGAACCGAATTTACAAAACGTAGCCAAAGATTTTGAATTGGATTTATCAAACGAAAAAATCTTAATATCTTGCCGTAAAGTTTTCTATCCTAGTGATAGTCAACGTTGCTTATTATCATCAGACTTTTGTCAATTGGAAATGCGTATATTGGCCCATTTATCGCAAGATCCAGCTTTGCTGCAAGTCATTAAAAGCGATAAAGATATTTTCACTTCGATTGCGGCACGTTGGAACAAAATCTCGGAAGTCGATGTTGGTGAGCAATTAAGAAATGCCACTAAACAAATATGTTATGGTATCGTTTACGGGATGAGTATGCGTTCCTTAGCGGAGGCATTGAAATGCAATGAACAAGAGGCAACGTTAGTGTCAGAGCAATTTCACGCCGCTTATCCGGGAATAAGGTGAAGTTAATGCAAAATGTTTATGGGTCAGATTTTATAGCTCGCTTTGCTTTGCTTCTTTTTTATATTTTTTTTTACGTTTTTCTATCTAGAATCTATATGGAAAAGATAATAAAATTTGCCAGAAATAATGGCTATATTGAAACCATTACAGGTAGACGGCGATATTTGGAAAACATCAATAATGCCGAAATTTCATTAAAAAGTAAGAAATTTTTCTAAAATTTAATATTGACTTTATGACCCAAATTCCCCAAAATTAATATAAAAAATGGCGATGGATGGAATGGTTTAGCTTCAAATTTAAATTATATTTAGAATGCATTTTGTGGCATTCGCCTTATAACGATCAGAATTTGCTTAGATAATAGCTTCACTTTAAGATTGCATTGCACTTCGGGAAATGAAGGCACAAATAGGTGACGTCCTCAAAAACGAGCAGACAAGTGGGATGACATAAATATTTTTGATTACCGAAAATTATAGAACAAACAAAGCAAGTAAGAAATATAGTTATATTCTACGAGGGCTCAATCTCCATCATCGCTAAGAGACAATTTTCCAAAATAAGACTATCTCCACATACTTTCATTAGTAATTACAATCCATAATATGATCGCGTCATTACCGCATTTCTACCATAGTTCACTTTCGTTTTTTTTGGGAACTGAAACATAGACAGACACTGGTCATAGATCCACAGCCGTTTTGATGATTCTTACTTCTTTTTAGATCACGCTGAACGTCAAGCTGTTAACTCTGCAATCCAGGGTTCAGCTGCTGATATAGCTAAGAGTGCAATATTGAGAATGGAAAAGAATATGATTAAGTATCAAGAAAAGCTTGCGCTTGATGCTGGCGCAGTGCGTCTAGTGTTGCATCTTCACGATGAATTAATATTTGAAATACCTGAAGATAAGGTTAAAAAGATTGCCAAAGTCTTGAGGCTAACAATGGAAAATTGCGTTAAACTAAATGTGCCATTAAAGGTAAAATTGAAAGCCGGCAAAAGCTGGGGTCAATTAAAAGAAATGACTTAAGATAATTAAATATTAATTACGCTCTAATTGCTTAGTTACTATTTATTAAATTATGTATTCAATTAATTTTTTTTTATAATTAATATATTTGTTTAAATTTTGCAAATCGCTGCTCAGTCCAAGACAGCATTTTAAAGAAATTTTGTGATTTTATGATTGCGCTCATAATTAGAAAAAATTTATTTATAAAATTGTTCAATATATTTTTTTACCATGCTTGCTCTACTATATTTATTTATTAAGTTATGCATGTAAATTCAATTTGTATTATTTCTTGTAAAAAATTCCACCATTACGCTCACATTTTATAAGCCAAGCTTGCTAGCCCAATCAGACCAAGAACCATGATACGATTTTGCTCTATATATATTTGAATACAGAAAAATTAATAAAAAATTTTATGAATATGTGTTTGCTTGCCGTATAAAATGCTTTACTTTTTAAATCCATGATTGTGAGCCAAATCTGTAGCGATTTGTGCTCTTCTTCCGCTCATGCAACTAAATATTATTACAGAGTCAGTAGATGGTTTATCACGTTTAAATGTGGTGAGGAAATCTCCTTCCGACATTGTCAAGACATTTTCCAATTCGGGCACTACTTATACAAGGAACTGATCAAGAAGCAGTGAGGAAACTTAAACAGCTACTATCAACTTACATGGTATATGTATGCTTGCTGGTATGGAGCCAGTATTTGTCACTTCATCTTTATTTCTTACATCAATTAAATATACTTCAGGATGATTGGGCACTTCTTTCACTTCCTCATAGGTAGCCATCTTTCAGCAAAATGTTTTTTTTTTTAGAAAAATTTTTATTTTTCTATTAATGTAACAAACATCCGCTTTTAAGATAAAAAGTTTTTATTGCTAAACGAGTGCAAATAAAAGCAAGTAACTAAGCTAGACTCGGCTATGGCCGAATCTCTTATCCTGTACCCAACAACTTGGTGTTAAATAAATAAATGAAATTTCGATCTTTCCGCAGGATCGAAATTTTTGTTGTTGTATCTGCTATCATTTACAACACAATTTTCTATTGTTTTCAAAAAAAAGTTTTCTCAGTTTACGCTACACTTTAGGCATGTCCCATGGCCGACATGATTTGTATCAATCAAAAACTTGTAATGTTTTTTCCCGTATTTGAACTCTTTTTTTTTTTTTGTATTAATGGTTGATCGATACACTAACTCCCGCGCATGCGCACACACACACACAGACGGCCAAGCATTTCTAGATGATTTCATATGATCATTATAAAGAATGTATGTATTTTGCAGGGTCTCGGAAAACTTCCTATTAGGTGTTGCAAGCGTTTCGACAACACGGGTATAAGACCAACTTTAATAGGGTGTACAATTGACGTTTATCAAGCTTATAAGTTTATTTAAATCTCTTATTCTGTAATGCTTGCTTATGTGTTACAAAGTCCTAATGTTCTCAGAGAAGAAGAAGAAGATTTAGAGGGAGCTACGTTTTCAAAAAGAGAGAGAGAGAGAGAGAGAGTTGAAATACTCCTAGTGTTAATTACAGTAGATTAGCGCCCTACATCTATTACTGCGCACACCCATGTTCGCTTTTCTTAAAATTGAAATTGAAAACAATATGAATACCATAGGAAAAGATGAAGCTTCTTACAATTTATTAAGTTAGGCATTTAGTTAAATTTATATTTATATTCTAAAAAGCTTCTTAATTACGTTCTATTTAAAAACCATGTCTTTTAGACCATTCGGACCAAGAACCATGATACGTTTTGGCCCTATAATGAATAGAAAGTTGGAGGATTTTAATCATTCACCGCAAACAAACAAAATACCTTTTGAATCCATAACTACGCGCCAAGTCTGTGCCCTTTTGTGCTCGGACACCCTTCAAGCAGCTAAATATTATAACAGAGTTTTTCGAAGGCTTATCACGGTTGTATCTATGCTGAAAATGTCTTTCAGACATCGTGAAGGCATCCTCCAAATCGTGCACTACACACACACACACACAAAAGCAAACGTGCGAGAGCCTACGGCCATCAGCCACTCTCTTAATCAAAGATTTACACTTACATGGTATATTTATGGATCCCGGTATTAAGCCGGTGCTTGCCACTTCATCCGCATTTCTCACATCAATTAAATACACTTCTGGATTGTTTGGTACATTCCTGACTTCTTCAAAGGTGGCCATTTTGTCCCTTCTCGAAAATATAATATTCTAAAAACTATTGATCCTAAAGGCGGATTAAGCATTCATTTATTATTCGAATTCATTTAGTCCCTGAGCTTATGGTTAAGTGTTTTAACTTCTCTTACTAGTTTCAATACTTTCTAGCCACTAGATAATATATGGATTTATATACATATCTGCACGAATGCACATGGATGCGCTACACTTCAATGTAGAAGAAGCAAGTAATCGAATATTTACAGGACTATTAGGCTTTATATTTATGTAAATATATGTCGTCAAAAATATAATTTAATTCAATGGAATCGATTAGGAGGAGAATACACAATTATTTGCTTACGTCAACAAATAATTAATTTTAATGACTTTAAAAATAAACTGAAAGTAAACAAACGCACAATGTAAACATGGAATGAGAAAGAAGAGGAGCCATTGTTGAGAACGTCTATAAGAAAATAAACACCTGGACAAAGTTGCCAGAAGGTTTAAATTCAGAGAAAAAGTGAGTTACCAGAAATGGAAAACATGTTGAGCAGTGAAAGTCAAGTGAAATTTCGTAACAAGCTGACAGAACAGTAAATGTTGCTACCATGCTAATGATTATATGAAAGAAAATATCTGAATATATTTAAGAGACCTATGATAACGCTCTTGGACACCAACTAGAAAGACAATATACGTAGAGAGAGGGTATGAGTGTATATATGCACCTCTATAGTTTATAATAAATAGTCTAAGCACGATCATCGGCACACGTCTCTCAAAGAACGTCGTAAACCTCGTATCGTATAAAGTAGTTATGGGGACATTTAATTTTTAGTTATTAATATATTAACTGAACATGTTGGGTTGGCGTAAAAATGTGTCCAAGTGGGGTTTCGAAAAAACACGATCAAGGCATTTCTAGGTCAAAACGGTGTCCAAACATTTCCTTAACAATTCACGGAGTCTACAAGCTATTAATCAGCGATTTCATCGAAGCTACTTGCAACAGCTGGTCATCAGTTCATAGACAATTAAAAATCAAATGTAACTCTAAGTTTAAAATTTTATTTGGAACTGCATGTTTTTTACTTATGTAGCGGACTGGAATATCGGTTTGTAATACATTTTTCTTCTCATTGTTAGTTAGATAATTATTTCGATTTTTCCTATGGGGGCTCCGATTTCTTAGTGACTGTAGCACTGTTTATTTAAGCGGCCTTCAAATTTAATCTATGGACATTATTTGGCAATACCTACTATTTTAACTTTAACAAAGAAGATAATTAGATCGATTGAGAATTTCATGCTGATCAAGGATGTACATATATATCTACTATCCACTTTTTCGATGCTTTTCTTTCGAGGTTATAAAGGAACTGATATATTTAGCGTACTTTCACTTTTTTGAATTCCGATATAACAACTTATGCAGTTCGCTATTTCTAAAGAGAGGGATTCCAACTCCAATCAACAAAAGTAAAAAAAAAAAGAAATGCATTTCAACAATTTATTTTAAGCCAGAACGAGAGGTAATAGGCGGCTAATAAAATTTGAGGTATCGGTTAAGCAGATAGTTAATTATTCAAAGAAAAATTAATTTTGGAACGAAACCGTACAGGAGCACCCGGTGTACGTACCCCTTCATAAAACAATAAAGATATTTGAACCGTTTGAAGAGTTATCTTCAAGATTGTTGTGAAATGGATCAACTAAAAATATTCACTTCAATGGATGATTTCATTAGCCATCCACCTAATAATTTAAGAAAAATTCGAAAGATCCATCATCTTTATATACAAAGATAGGGGAACTGGATAAGGTAACTGGGCCTTACTTTTACCATGAATAGTTTTGTAAACTTCTTTGTTCAGAGTAATATTTAATCATTTATACCTTTATACTTTCATTTCTTAAAAACCGAATATTGATAGAGTATGACAAAAAAACGTGCAAAATATATATGTTTCATGTAAATAATTTCTTTTATTATTAAGAGTACATGTTTTAACTATCCTTACAAAGAATATATTCTTTAGTACTTTTTTTTTCAATTTTAAAACATCAGATTTAAACAAAATAATAATAAGTGAAAAATTGCACAAATTTCTTTTCAATATCAATCAATCAATTCATAGAAAGAGATAAATAGTTTTTCTTTTTTTTTTTTTTTTTTTCCTTTCCTCTTTTTAAAATAAAAGCAAAAATAAAATTTATAAAATAACAAGGAAGCAATATTCGCCATGAGGCGAATGACTCTACTCACTACCTTAAGAAAACATAAAAATAAAAGGGGATATGAATAATCTTTCGATTATCAGTGTAACAACAAAATAATTTTCTATAATATTCTCATATATATAGGTTTATGCATATTATTGTTGTTAATTGTGGAAAATTCTTAAATAATTGTCCTCTGAAGGTTTTTTATGCGATTTGTGTAAATGGAACTGAACTCTGACTCTTCATTTACAAGTTCACTTTGGATAACAACAAATACAACAGACAAGGAGATGGACAATCGATGGCAATCGACCTAAAGTCAGTGAAGATCAGGACGAATTTGTTATTGTTATTGCATACATTTTTGTCTGTCTATATACTGCAGCAAACGGACTATTAAACAATTGTCTTATGCTTCTTATGGTTGTGAGTGTAAGTGTGATAGTAGTGATGGAACATATGTATTTAGCATAGCATAAAAGATATTTTTTTCTAGAAAATTTCTTCTCTTCATACATTGAATTTATTTTTTTTTATAATAATTTATTTAAAAGTTAACAAAATATATAAATTTTTTTGTATATTATAGGCAGCGCAGTAACGAGAAAAAAAAAAAAAGAAACGTAGAAAAAACGTAGTGCTTTTTTTTTTTTTTGCTTTTGTTTTGTTTTTTGAACTTCTTTGTAACGATTTTACAGTACGCGTACACATAATACATACATACATACATAGAGTAAGAGTAATGTAAGCAACAGAGATTGATTGCTCGCATTATAAGAAATGAAATCAAAAATTATGTTAATACAAAACAAAATTTTTGCTTCGTTCTCTCTCGAATCCTTTTTTTCATCCTTTCTAACTAACAAAAAGTGCACACGTTTACCACAAGACATAATAATAATTATTAGTTGAAACCATATATATATATATATATAAATATATATATATAGAGAGACGTGACTACTACGCATTGCAAAGCATTACATTGAATTAATGAATTTTAGATTAAAAAAAAGGTGGAACATTAGCAACGTTTCAGCGGTGGTACTAAATGATCGGGTAGTACATTCGGCAATTCACAGCCTTCCAGTTTAACGCCAATCAAATGCATTGCCAAAGCAAATTCATCGGAATCCAGAAAACCATCACCATCGACATCGGAAAGTTTCCAAATTTTACTTAGCACCGAATTCGGTAATTTCGATTTAATTAGTTCTTGTTTGGCAGCTTAAAAATGTATTAAAAAAAAATAAATTTTTTTTTATTTTTTTTTTTAAATTATATATGTTAGTTAATATTTTATAGCAAAAAATTGAAAGAAATAATTCTACCTTGACCCGATATTTTACCACCCACAGGTCCCAGTTTATTAAATATATTATCTGTTCGTTCTTTGTCGCGATTACAAATCCAATCGTGTTCACCGTAACCGGCATCAATTCCCTCTCCCTTCATATATCCGAATGGTGAAACGTTGTCATCGATAACTCCTTCAAAGGCGCCACCTGAAAATTGATGTAAAATCAAATTTATTTCAGTTGAAATATGTCACATACCACATGCGAGCGAGTGAGTGGATGGTGAAGTGCAATATATTTGGTGAAGTGCTCAAGTGTAACGTGTAATCTTGTGATTTTAATTGTGATGTGAAGGTGGAAATATTTTGTGTTTTTTTTTATTTCTATTTGCAGCTAAGCCACGGGAAATCCTGGATGAACTTTTTTTTTTTTTTTTTTTTTTAATGTGACCAACAACCAACTACTCAGGCGATGTTCTCTACGCGTGTAACATGCTGAAGATCAGTAAGAAGTGGAGACAGCCTGAGAGATGTATACATCCGATCGTCACACCAACAAAACACATTTACTCTAACTACGATCGCACACCAATGGTAATAAAAGTATGTTCTACGCACGCCACTACGAACTGAAGATGGGTGATTTCCACACTTGGCAGAAGAGCTTGTTTTTAGCTATTAGGTTATGCGGGTTATGGAATACATATGCAATAGCATCGAGTCCATTAATATTAAGAACTAGATCCAAGTCAAGACAAAATTATTGTGCACGCTCGTCAAGCATAGAATAGAATCTCAGCAAACGATTCCAAGTTTACAAGCGGACTTGGTGAGGGATTCCTTACCTCGATGAGCCCTGATTTCCTTAAGGAAGCGAAGAACAGCTCTTTCTTAGAGTTTAAATAAAGGGTCCCCCTTTCAATCAAAGTCCTTTTTGTAACAGGGATCTGTTACAAACTTGTGCCTTTTTGCGTTGTTTTTGTGAAGTAGATTTCTTATTAAATTAAGCTCTAGATTTTATGTCTTGGATCAAGGGGATGCCTTATGAAGGCGGTTTGAAAGAAGTTCAAAAACCAAAGCAATTCAACAACAAAATACATTGTGGAACTGCTAATCGAAAATCGAGGCGAGTGAAACATCCGAAAGAAGATTCGGTTATAGATCCGCTCTTACGACCATAATCTGGTAATGGAAGTACGTACCCTCATCCCTTTATATAAGAAAAATATACATGTTATATACATGTTCTTGTCTGGTAGCAGATATTAAGTAAAATTGCTCGGCCATGTCTATCCACATGTTCGCAGGGGCCTCAAAATGGCAAAAGTGAGAGAAGCTAAAAATACTGAAACTAGATACAGATAGAACAGCGATAAGTCGGCTTAGAATATCGTAGAATAGTTTCAGGATACATCTCCGAGTCGCTCTAATAATATTAGCTGACCGATGTATGATCTTTTATTATATGTTGAGTAACCAAAAATTTTGCTCCTCCAGCAAATGCATTTATTTTTTGCTAAGAACTATATTATTAAACTTGAAGCGTTACTTGTTGCCTAAGCGAGGTTATAATCGTAGGCTTATGCTTTTCATTTTGTTAGGTGAAAAAAATTCGACTTAAACTATATTCAAATTTGTTTACATGCTTTAGATATATATATACATATATATATATATATATAACTCGGACTATATAAGTAGCAGGTAGATTATCTGTACAGATACACGTATATGCAAATATATTAATTCGCTATTCATTGCTGAAGAAAATGAATTTGTATGTGCACGATGTGTAAACCATTCAATTAGTTGCAATTAAATTCTGTTTTCATGTAGTGTATGCATGTATGTATGCATGCTTAGTTTTGTGTGCTCTGTGCAGTGCGCTTCGAATCAAATAACTGCAGAGAAAATCTACTTGAAGATGTGCGCAATTTTATTGTAAAAAGTTGTTGCAACTCAAGTGCACAGTTGTCATCAAGAAGCATAAAACATAAATTGTTAACGAGTAAGAAGATGAAGAAGAAGAAGAAGAAGATCCTATCCATCCATCCATTATTCCATTGTGCATTATGCTATGTAACTTTTGCTTTTTATATTTAGATTACTTAACAATCGACCGACATTTGTTATTATTGGCGGCAATTGAAGTCGATCTGGTATTATATTTTAATTCTACATTATTTTAGATTACAATTGATTGGCATTGTGCATTCAAAGATTTTGTCGCACAGACACCGCACACGGTGCACGGCGCACGGCACGAAGTATCATTTTGCTTGTAATTGAAACTGCATCACAAAATCTCTAAGGTATGAATGAATGAATGAATGAATGAATGGATGGATGGATGGATGGATGGATGGATGGACGGATGGATGAAAATCATTCAATTACAAAAATTTAACTTTTCATAAATAGCAGCGAAAAGAGAAATATCTTAATTGTGTCATTGCCTTTCTAGCATTCGAGAATTGCGCATAAAAGTATTCATATATAGTATTAGACCGTGATATTTAGTAACTTGTTTTTTTAATTCGTTAACTTCCTTCGCCTCCTAATTTCTTCTTAATTGATTGTGTGTATGTTTATTCAACCTTCACGCTGTATCTCTTCTTAATTGGCGCGAATTTTGTCCGAAGTATTTGAAAAAGCAATTCGTCCTTGATAGCCAGATATGTCTACGGAATAGTATTTGGATCAAATCAAATTTCCACCTCTCCGATTGCTTATTATTAGATCCTCAGGGTAGATTTTGCATGCTTTTTTCTTTTAACAGTCTTGCCTTAGCATTATTGCGTCGTTTTGCATTCCTAAACAATCACAGGAATGGAGAGTGACTTTTTTTTAATGTACTTTGTGGGCTATGAACAATATTTTAGATTGGATTTCAACATTTTAATTCCCAGCAAGCGCAAGACATTTTAGGCAATATTTTTTTTTTTTTTTTTTTTTTTTTTTTTTTTTTTTAGCACCATAAGTTTTTTTTAAACACCAGTTACTTCACGTGAAGGCTCAAATTCAAGGCTATTTTTTTTTTTTTTTTTTTTAGCACCATAAGTTTTTTTTAATCGCCAGTTACTTCACGTGAAGGCTCAAATTCTTAATTTATTCTAAATTCTCTTAATCTTTAAATATTGGCTTAGAAAAGGAAACAAATTATATTTGTCCTTAGGTCATCCTTCATGTTAACAATCCTCGACCCACCTCCTTGTTTATACTTTTCCCTGACCGATTAGTATCACTTTTGAAATGACATTTAAAAGACTTTGTTGTCGTCAAATTTAACTATGGCAGTTAGTGCTAAAGTTTATGAATTATTTTTATATTTTGTTTCTTAGATTGGAAGTTGAAGTTGCGTTCATTTTGTCAAAATGTTTGCAACAATCAGAAAGTCCGTCTGTCCGTCTGGGTAATGCGATGTCTTCATTTTAGTAACCCGGCGAATGTCAGCAACATACAACCGCACCTACGGATAGATCTGATTTAATTAATTCACAATATCTCGATGATCAAGAATAAATATACTGCATAGGGTCTGTGAAGCTTCCATTTGCGTGTTACATACATTATGGAAAAAAACGGGTATAAAAATAGTTTCTGATGAAAACAAACTAATTTTAGTGAAATTTTATCATTTATGCCTATTTTTTATATTGACATTCAATTTCAACGTATTTTGTACGCTGAATCTACAGTTGACAGTTACTCGATGTATGCTTCCTTGCAATTTGCGCTTCCATTATCAGTGCATCTAATAAGTGCAAACTAAGAAGTGCAAATGAAATTTGGAATCTGAAACTTGAATAATCATCATATCTTACATATTGGCGATTTTTAATAAATCATAAAAACGATTTCGAAATCTCTGAAAATTCGCAGAAAACTTTTCTTTCACACTTAAACGGGGCGAATCAATTATATTTACATCTAGAAGATTACAAAAAACAAAAAAAACAAAAAAAACAAAAAAAAAAACAAATATATATATAATTATTTGTATGACGAGTAACCATTAAAAATATGATTGAAGGCAAAAAAAACAAGTGATAAATTGCATAGAGAAACGTGAAATTAGAATATAAAGGAAAACATTAAACACATAGCAGCACACCTTTTGAACTTTTTAACATACAAACGCTAAATAAATGATTCAATCAACCAAACCTACGAAGAAAAAAAAAAAAAAGAAGAAAAAATGCGGGGAAAATAATGAAATTTGCGTGCACTTGGGCAATTCCATGAAAGGCCAATGCCTATGTCATTGTGAAATTCTT